CTTTCCAGTTCCCTTTTTAACACAAACTGCATTTTAGCAGTAAAAAGTTGCAATACGGAGAATTGAGCAGAAGCTTGACAGCAAAATAAAAATAAAAAAATAACTAAAAAGTAATAAAAATATATAAAAATCGCAAATTTAATCAAATTCGCAATATGTCCAAAAAAAAAAACATGATGTGTACGAGGGACATTCTGTATTAACAAACGATGTATTTTATTCAGAATTGTTTTAAAGCATGTTGACTTTATTTCACTGAAATTCTTTTTAATTTAGTGTACAAAATAAAGGTTTTGACAGGGAGCTCTTTTCTTGCAGCTAATGGTTATTTAAAGAACCATTTATTTGTACTGTATGTATTAAAAAAAGGTTCAATAGGTTCTTCTTGAAAGTTTCTACACTCACTGCCAATTAAAAACATTTTTTGTGTACATTTATGTGATTAAGTGCATTTGTTAAGTAACAAAAAGTTTCTTGAAAAAGCAAAACATTTCAGTCATGTAAATCCACAAGAGCAGCTCTAATGGGTGATGACCATATTTAATCCAGTATCTACATCTAGCTAAAGGCACTGACACAACATAAAAAAGAAAGATACAGTGCTCAGCATACGAGTAAACCCCATTTTGACTGTATATTTTTATCAATGTCTCAGTAAATATGTATTTTAGTGCATTTGAACAAAACCGATTTAATAAGCAGATACATTTATTAAAATAATAATTTCGTCACAAAACATGTTTAGAAATGGAAAGATAATACATTTAAATTCATGCAAAACATAGCAAAAAATAATTACAAAATGCAAACTTTCAACAGTTTTTATTTTGTTTCTCTTGATTTTTGCTATTTTAAAATTTTATTTAATATTTCTCCCTAACATATATATTTGAGCTACTAATTTTTAACCCCTTAATGCAAGTTATTTTGTTAGATTAGCTCCAGATTTGGCTTCAGTACTGACTGAACTAATATATATGAACAAATATAATATTTTAAAGCATCTTATAGAAAATATACATTTAAATGAGAGATTTGTTGGGGGTGTACTCATATATACTGAGCACTGTGTGTGTGTGCAGTGCAGAACTGCATAGACACACACACAAAAAAAGATTCATAAGACAGTGATAGCCAAAGTACTTGTTTTTCAAAGAATATAATTATAGTTGTCAATGGCTATTGCTTTCAGTTTTTCTTCATATTGCTTTCTTTTGCGTTCATCATAATAAAAACACAAACGTTTGGAATTGGACGGTGGACAAATGGTGAGTACATTTTAATTGTAGTTGAACTATTCTTTAAAGAGATTGATTTTAAGTATTAGAAAGACAAATACGGTGTAAATCTTATAAAAAAAGGAACAGAAACAATTCGATTTTTGCTTATGTACCCATCGTACTTTAACTGCAGTTCATGAAAATGAGCATTTGAGCTTTGAAAAAAGGTCAACAGCACCACCTTTTGTTCAAAATGTTTTAGTGCAAGCTAATTTCTCAAATTACATTTTTTTCCCAAATATATTATCAGCTTTAACAGAAACGTGGATATTTTATAAAAGTATAAAAACAATAACATATTGCACACATTAGGATATTATTGTCAAAGAATTTTATAATTTATTGCTCGTGTCGTCTAATATGCTTTGAATGCTGCAATTACTGCAGTTATTCCGAATTTTTTTTTTATTATTGTTAGATTGTTTTTCGCAATATCAAAAGGCTACAAGCAGTTCTGTTCATGTGATCTCCCTTCACGAAAAAGTAACGATAAACTAGTTAACGTTCTTAAAATAACATTCATATAGTTTTCCCCATTAGTGCTGCCAATTTTGGCAATTCTTGGACAGTCCACATTAAGAAACGCAAAGCTACAAGAAAACAGCACAGAGTATTATCAACCAAAATTTATAACGTTAGATTTCCCTTTTTTATAAAACGCAACGTCTTCTTGCATCATCATAAAATGGCTACAACAACAGGCCAGCTTCCAAACATTCAATACGACAACAAATTGAAGTTTACAGCAATCTCATAAAGAACCCCCTACAAATGAGGCAAAGTTGGTTGGTACAGTATATTCGTACATTCGTTTTTAAGGATCTATAATGTTTAACGTTACCACGCTTTGAAAATTTTGACTGAAACCGCATGTAATTATGACTTAAAAACAATTGAATTAACTCATGAACAAATGTGTAAGACTAAATTTGATAACGTTAGTCGTTGGCTGCTAATATGATTCCCTTTTTATAATGTTCAACACAATAAAAATATATTATTAGAAGTCCGATGCGCAAATCTACAACCAACTTTACCTCATCTTCAGTTGACATAACTACATCATTTGATCGGCACGGCGGCCTAACAAACGCCTGACTATTATGAATCATTGTAACTTAAAGTTAATACGCAAAATGATCATTGAATTTGTACATTCAGAGTTTGAACAGTAACGTTAATTCTTCAGTGTGACTGATGCCACACAACAAAAACATTAATATAAAATTACAGCATACAAAACAATGGCAGCAGCGGCCAAAAATATATCATATGGCACGGCGGCCTGCTTGTTTTTGAACAAATTAACGTTAACGTACCTTTTGTTGATTGAATGGTTGAAAATCCTCTCAAAGGCTCTAATGGTAGGTGGGTCTTTGCTTCAACTCGAATTTCTTCAAACGCAATCTTTAACACGGCGTAAATAATGAAAATCCATGGTGGCTAAGTTAACGGATTACTTCTTTTAGTTGTGGAGGTCTAACTCTCATTAGAGATGAAAGCCCCGCCAATCTAATAGGAAGTCGATTGTGATTGGTCAGTTTTACTGACATTTAAAAACTGGACCAGTATGACCAATCACAGAGCTGAAAAGGCTATTGGGCGGGGAAATTCTAATCGGGAAACGGGTAATTTTAGCCATTTACATTCCAACTCAACCAGATCAGGCAAATTTAAAGAGTTTATTTTAACAGAAACATTTTATGGAGATGCTTCAGGTCAAAACTTTAGATGCTAAAAATTCAAACAAATACATTTTTAAAAGTTTCCCATAATGATTATGCCATATTAGGCCATACAATAAGTGTGTAGCTTAGGCTTTCCCGCTCAAAGACGTTTGTGGGAAGTTCACACACTTCCTTTATTTAGACCTTTGATTTTTATCTATCAGATTTTACTAACTAGTAGTAATAGTAAAATTATTGCAAACTGCAGTAGGCCTATAAAGACTTTTCGATTTTATGTAGATTTTTGGGAATATAATTGTTATAAAAATTAGTGTATATATATATATATATATATATATATATATATACAGTTGAAGTCAGAAATATTACCCCCTGAATTATTAGCCTCCTTGTTTATTTTTCCCCCAATTCCTGTTTAACGGAGAGAAGATTTTTTCAACACATTTCTAAACATAATTAATCATAATATTCATAATTAATCATTTAATTAATCATTTCTAATAACTGATTTATTTTATCTTTGCCATGATGACAGTAAATAATATTGTAGAATGTTTGAAAAGGTTTAATACAGTTCCTGTGTTTTATTTTGGGGTGTATCTGTAGTTGCAATGTGGGATTGTCAGGGGCTGGATTTTGGGGAAAAAGCGAGTCTGCGCACTCGAGAGGGAGGGAGGGGTTTCCGTTTGGATGAGACAGGTATATTGTTCTGTGAGTGGACAGTGTGGGGTTCGGGAGTGAACACAATGATTACTCTGTCTGAACGTGCAAAAGTTGATTAAAAACACAAGTTGAACTGTTAAATGCTTCCTGGCTTCTTCAGTTCGTTACAATATTTTACTAGATATTTTTCAAGACACTTCTATACAGCTTAACGTGACATTTAAAGCCTTAACTAGGTTAATTAGGTTAAATAGGCAGGTTAGGTTAATTAGGCAAGTTATTGTATAGCAATGCTTTGGTCTGTGGACTATCGAAAAAATATATAGTTTAAATGGGCTAATAAATTTGACCTTAAAATGGCTTTTAAAAAAAATTAAAACTGCTTTTATTCTAGCCAAAATAAAACAAATAAGACTTTCTCCAGAAGAAAAAAATATTATCGCAATATTGTTAAGCATCATATGGGAAATATTAAAAAAGAAAAAAAAAATCAAAGGGGGCAAATAATTCTGACTTTAATACTGTTACAATAATAAATTTAATAAGGTTTGTTTTTGTACAAGATGTTAGTCTCTTTAGAAAACTTAGACTTTATCACGAATGAAAAACTGTTATTCTAAAAAAGAACAATCTGCTAAATTAATAAATAAATTGTGTGAGTACTAGTAGTGTACTTAGTAAAAAAAAAGTGTAAATATATGAAGATAGTAGATATAAGATTTAATACCTTAATTAGAGTATTAATTTTGTGAGATTAAAAATGTAGAAAAAAAGTCTATTAATTTAGACTTTTTCTGAAAAGTTATTTTTTTTTAATTCTGATGAATTAATAAATGTAAATGTGTGTGCATATGTAACATACACATAGACATCACCTATATGCTATAAAACTGCAGGTTAACTATGCTTATATATAATAACTTATATTTAATTTTAACGTTAACTTGAAGTGCACCTTTTAAAGCTGCTTTGAAACAATAATTATTGTAAAAAGCATTATACAAATCACCTTTATTAGAATGTGTGTGTGTGTGTGTGTGTGTGTGAGAGAGAGAAAGAGAGAGAGAGAGAGAGAGAGAGAGAGAAAGAGATATTTTACCTATTATTATTATTATTGGTCTTTTTATTGCTATACTATATATCATAATACTATACTAAACTTTAGAAGTACTTTAGCAATACATTTGTAACACTTTTCATAACAATAAAGCAACTATTGAATTTAATTGAATTTAGTTTAGTTTAATTAGAGAGGAAAGGAGATAAAGAGCAAGAGAGAGAAATTAAAATAAATGTTATACATTTAAAGTTGGCATGAAATGTCAGTATTATCATCATTATCCTGACATATCCAGATGAAGAATGAAACCAAGTTGATTTTGAACAGGAATTGAATCATTGTCATTTGCTATAGACTACTTTAATGGACAGAGAAGGCTTATTTGTTTTACATTAAATAACAACATTAAAAAATACAGTGAGATAAAGAAATATGATGCAATGTGATGCAATATTCCATTGAAAAAATACTTCACATTCATGATCAAAGTGCCAAGGGGTGATAGAATGGGTCTAATCATACAAACATATGGTTTATACATAGGCTACTTATGTTAATAAAATTGTTTTATATTAAATACAACGAGCACATTTTCACACATTGCCAATATCAAAGCAAATCTGTTTCAGGCAAATCCAGTAAAGTATTTACGCAGAGATTATTTATATTGTTTATACAATGCCTCCATCTAGTGTTGAATATTGAAGTACTACAGGTAGTTGTAAACTAAAAGCTGCAGATCAAAATAATGACAATAGATGGCAGCAGGTCCTCAGTTTTGGCTGGCAGGATCATCTTGCTCTTTGCCCTCTCTTGGAGACTTCAGGCACTGCAGTCACACCAGGAGTCCTGCAGATTTATTGAAGAATTAGTTCAAACCACTGACGTCTGGAGGCAGTTTAGAGACCTGTTGATCTGCTCAACCCTTTATATATGTATTTTGCACATCAGTGCGCATGCACATACTGCATATGATGAAATACTAATGCATATTTAATTGATCAATGTACAAAATAAATACAAACCAGGAATATATTTGACATATTTAGTATTATTACTTGTACAAAACATAACGGGTCATGTAATGCAAAATTGGGCATACATAAAAAATTATTTAAATGCATTTTCTTTTTTATTACATTCCAACAAGCCTGCTATGCATATTGATGTTTTTTTTAACCAAAATGAGCTACATTTCTACCACAATTTATACTTTGAAGGAAAGCTTAAAGGTTAAGCTCTGGAAAAAAGAAGATTTCAGAAATGATTAATTCACTTTTTCTGTTGCAGTGTCTTTTAAACATGATGAACATTTAAGGTACTTTTATGACTGATCCCACCCTCTTATTCAGTTATGAGTAACATGTATGAAACATGCACTGAAAGTACACAGTTGGTGCAAAAGTGCAAAAATCCTAATAAAAGAGAAAGTGTTATTTTTAACAAAAGTATTGCAAGTAAACAAGGCCTCCATGTTGCCAGATTATAAGCTTCATATTATAGACCAAAGTCATGCATGTGCTACATTTTGCTCTTTCTGCAAGTTGCAAAATGTGCAAATGCAGATGCATCAGTCTTCCTGTCCTCGTTTTTGTCACCCTCACCCACACACACATGCGCAAACACACACATCCTGTCATGCTTGCCTCGCACAGGAGACAAACAACCACAGACGTCTGTGACGCAGGCAGGAAGTTAGGCATCTTGTCTTATTTCTGCACAGCGCCCACTTCCTGTGGAAAAAAATAATACTAACCCTTGATTCAAATCATCCCACTTACCTACTTTCAAAATGATGCCACAAGTTAGCTTTGAGACATTATGGAAGAATAAAGCTAAAACTGCTATAATTTAGCATAATTTGTAGCTCTTGCAGCATTGCTATATTATAAAATGCATGTAGTTAAATAAATATGATCAGTGTTATGATCAACTGCTGCAGTTCTAAACATTGGAGATGTTTAAAAAGAGCTTTATCAGTGAAAACCATAAACTTTATCACACAGTGCAAGGATATTTCTTACTAAATCAGATGAATTACAACATGAATTTGATTCTTGTAGCATATATAAACACTTCTTATTTGAAATGCACATTCCTATACTGTCAGCTATTTTTAGTAGTTTAACAAAAGTCAGGGGAAGATTGTATCAGAACAACAATTTCCATTGTCTGTTTCTCTTTCAATATTTAAAATAGAGAGTGAGATTTTCCATGTGATTGTTCAGCAGTTTCTTTCTTTTTTGCATTGACTGCTCTTTATGGAATCCACCTAATCTTCACCTATGGGCAGTTTTAACTGTAAAATGCGGCATGTATATACAGTGACCAGATGTTTTTGTTTTCTGGGGACAGTCCCCAATTTTTTTTTTTGTTGTCTTGTTCCTGACTGCATCAGTTTTCCTTAAAAAATAAATGCATTTAAAATGCACTGAATCCATTTTTAAAACCTATAGATAATCATAAATGAGATTCAATGTAAAAAGTGACAACTTTTTATAAAATATCACAGTTAACTAAAGATATTGTATTTATAATGATGGCATTTAAGACATTACATTACAATTGTGTTAATAATATTTTTAGTTTTAATGTTATTAGAATAGGCAACACAGTGAGTAGCACAATCGCCTCACAACAAGAAGGTTGCTGGTTCGAGCCTAGGCTGGGTCAGTTGGCATTTCTGTGTGGAGTTTGCATGTTTTCCCCCAATGTTTGTGCGGGTTTACTCCGGGTGCTCCGGTTTCCCCCACAGTCCAAACACATACGATGTATGGTGAATTGAATAGACTAAATTGTCTGTAGTGTATGTGTGTGAATGAGAGTGTATGGGTGTTTCCCAGTACTAAGTTGCAGCTGGAAGGGCATCCACTGTGTAAGACATATGCTGGATAAGTTTGCGTCTCATTCCGCTGTGGCGACTCCTGATGAATAAAGGGATTAAGCTGAAGGAAAATGAATGAATGAATGAATGGATGAATGAATGAATGAATGAAGTTCATTATTCATAAAAAAATTTGTATTTACATATAAACAAATCACTCAGCTTAGCTAAACTACATTGAAATCATGAAAAACAACAATCATTCATTTTCTTTTCGGCATAATCCCTTTACTAATCTAGGGTCGCCAAAGCGAAATGACCCACCAACTTGTCCACATGTCTTTGGACTGTGGAGGAAACTGGAGCACCCAAAGGAAACCCACACAAGCACAGGGAGAACATGCAAACTCCACACAGAAATGCCAACTGGCACAGCCACTTGCTGTGCGGTGATTGTGCTACTCACTGTGTCACCTTGCTGCCCATGAAAAACAACTTACAAAAAATTATTTAAAAAAACTAATCAATAGTGAAGAATAAACTAGATATTGTTCTTTTCCATTTCTGTGTAAAACATTACAGCAACACTGTAATGTTTCTGTTGTGATAAAAAATAACGATTCGATAACGATCAATAATGATTATTGATTTGAATCAATAATGAGTGAATCAATGAATTAGTCAATCAATAGCTACATTTAATGACTTTATTTATCACAATACTATTAAACCAGTTAATAATAGTAATGATTTTGTTGTTCTTGCCCAAATTAATTTCTTTTTTTAATAATCCTAATTTGTGATAAATGACACATTGCTAACAACAATCTGAAACCCACCACATATAGATAAATATTTCTATTATAAACATTTCACAATAGTTTCAACTTATTTTTATTATCAACTTGTTTGAAATAATTTCTAGATTATTTGTAGTGTGTGTTTCATATGGGTCAAAGGGACTGTCAGTGGCCTTAGAGTAGTATTTATCTTGACAAAAAATTTTTTTTTATCAGCTTGCATTAAGCTTGCATTTAAATAGATGTCAGTTTGCTGTTAATGCTGTGTCAATGTTGTCTGAGAACAATGTCATTATCCTGTCCCTATAATGTTGTTCAAAACACTGCCATTTTGTTTCTTGCAAAAGGTGTAATGAGGTCATGCTGGCCTCATACCATATTTAATGTCACATGTAGTTCTGTAGGCCTTGTAAAGGAAAATGACAACAGAAAAACGAAACTTGAGTCAGTCCTGATCTATCTCTATTCAGACAAACATGTTTTTGTCTCCTACATTACCTGACATTACCTATCCTGCTACATTAACATTTTATTGTAATACATTTTTATTTTAAAAAGGCAACAAGTTATATAATTTTATAACTTGTTGCCTTTTTTAAAAATAAAAATGTATTACAATCAAATGTTAATGTAGCAGGATAGGTAAGAAATAATAACTTTTACAAAGAGTTTTAAAATATGAAATATAAACATTTAAAATATTGCACATTGCAGAATAATAATAACAACAATTAAATAAACAGGTTTTATACCTTTAACTGTCTTACATTTTTACCACAATTTTACTAGACACCCACTAAAATATAATTCAGTGCAACAATAGTTTATGTATTAATAGTCTTGTCAGGCATATTTAAATTAAGAATAATTTAATGACAATATCATTTAAACAACTAGGTTTTACTAATTTGTTAGCAAGGCGTTTTGGATTATTTAAAATATACAAAAGAAAAGTCACAATACACATTTCGTTTCAATTTTACAGAAATAGATTTGTTATAGAGACAGACATTCAACATTTATTTTCAAAAGCTATTTTAAAACATTATAACATTACAGCACACTTTCACACTTTACAAAAAGGTTCTGTTAGTTAATGTTAAAGTTGTATTTATTAATTGCATTAGTTTATAGTATTAGTTAATCATAGTAAATTAGTTCACTGTGAGTTAACATGAACTAACAATGCATGAATTAATTTGATCAAAAATCAACATTTAAAAAGGTAATATAATTAATACTAAGGTAATATAATAAAAATAAACACTGTTATGAATGTATTGCTTATTGTTTGTTCATGATAGTAAATACATTAACTAATGGTACCTTATTGTAAACTGATATTTGTTTTGTATATAAAATCATATTTGTACATTTAATTTGATTAACATTAAGGTAATGACCCCAATAAGGTATGACCCCAATGTATATAGGTTAGGGTTAGGGTTGTATATTTTGCAATCCTAGACTGAGGATGACACAGAAAAGCATGAGCAGGAAGTGTGAGTGATTTTGTTTGCGTGGAAAACAGGTGCTGTGGAAGTGGTGTTTGTGTGGGCTTTACAGACTCTGATCTGACAGCTGCTGTATCTCGAGAGCTTGGTTTTCCGCTTCACACAGATCTGGTTTTCAAACCATGGAAAACACAACACACTTCCCGGATGATGTGGACAAGTTTAGACATTTGGGCGTGTGCCTTTTTTGCCCGTTATTTACAGATGTTGTTTTTCTTTATAATTTGTTTGACATATATACAGTGTGTACATGTCTGGTATTTAAACACACCCCAAAAACTTTCACATTTATATATTAATGTATTAACAGTATTTGTTGCTTTTTTGAATATAGCAAACTAGTGGGTATAAATGTTAAAGTTACACTTATTAATAATAAATCTTCACCTTAGAATTATAAGGTTCTATCTGACATTTTTGTCAAAATTGAGTTATTAACATATTCTTATTAAATGACAACTTATTCACGTTATGGGAGTTTTTTTTATAAGTTGTTTACATTTTAGGACTTTTTATTTAAAAAACAAATGTTACACACATACTGTTTGCTATGGAATGCAAAAACTTTGGAGCTCAATATCTCAAAATCATTTAGAACACAGATAGAACCTTATAGTTCCAAGGTGACGAAATGTAATTGTGCATCTAAGTTCATTCAAATTCCCAATAACCTACAATAAGATTAAAGGGGGTTAAAAGGGGTTGCATATT